TCGTTATTTTTTATTTATTATCATTATTTGCCGTTATTACTGATTATCATTGTTAATTAATTAGTCATTGAATCCGTTCTTTGTGACTCCATTCTTTTTTCTCATTTAATTTTATTTCTAGATAATATTAAGACAGGTACGCAAAATGGAATGGTGATTACTATTGAAAATGAAATTATTCAGAAAACTTTTGGATTTGGATCGGTCACTTCTGATCTATGCGGTTATTTCTATTCTTCCTAGAGAACAGCTTAGATGATAAGTAAATTGCCAACGTGTAATGTTGTTTCAAGGCTGTCATCTCACTAGGAGTTAAGTGTTATTTTTTAATATCCAAGACGAGATAGCTAGTAAGGCGATAGTTTGCTGCTAAAAAGTGGAACTTCCATAAATGCCAATAAATGAAAGAAATCTTTCCTGTGTTAAAATTTGCTTTTTACTGACTTGTAAATTTTTACTCTTCTCAAGTAAAATTTTCTAACAGTTATTCCATTTGTGAAGATGGTGGGTTTGATATGGAACCGAAATGTGGTCGACCATTGGGTCTTCGTCAATTAGATGCTGAAACTATATTGGTCATTGATACTCATCTCGGCATTTTCTCCGTCAATTTTGAAAGAGGCAAGAATTTTTATATAGTTTTTTGATTATTACGTTGGTTCACTACTACTCTGAATTCGTTCATTACTATAACTGTATACTGCACAGTGCTACATGTATTTTCGACCATCGATCTATCCTGTCAAATCATCTTTTTAAATGATCTAGACATCATTATTAAATTGTGTAAATTTAAGTAAGCTTTGAAAACGAAAGAATTTCTTATTAATAAAAATGCTCTACATACGTGAAAGAATGATTAGATTTACGTCTCCACTTCAACCACATATGTCTAAAGTCGGATGGAAAAAAAATTTAGTTCGAGAGCTTAAACATTTGGAAATATTGAAATATTATATATATATATTGAAGTATTAGAAACATTGCATAAAGCGGAAATCTTGATATCAGTTGTTGGTCATTAATTTGGTAATTAACAAAGGTGAAAGTAAGTGCTTCATTGCTTTTTATTGAAATAACTAATCCTATAAATCACTGTATATGTATAACTAATCCTATAAATCAATGAAAGAATTTGGTATACAATTATAGTTTAAGGGCAATATATGGTAGTATTAGGAAATCAGACAGAAGTGGATGGGAAACCAATGAAATTCTTAAACGATATCGATGTAGTAGATCAAGACGTGCTGATATTTACGGATTCTTCCAATAAATGGGATCGACGCCATTTTATGAATATTCTTTTGGAGGGTATTCCTAATGGAAGGTGATTTCTGGCTCAATTAACATTAAATTAAATTAGCAGTAATGAAAATTTGACATTAATCCTTATTCATCCGTGCAATAAACGTATGCTCTAAAATATTAGCAAAGAATTTTATAGAGATAGAAATGGTAACATATATCAATAAAAAAGTTTGTACAATTGCAGTCTGCAAATTGAAATTAAATAAGAGAGCAATGTTTTCTTCAGAGTTCTGCGCCTAACACGATCAACTGGAAAAATCGATGTAGTTATGGACAAACTGTATTTTCCGAACGGTATTCAGCTGTTTCCTGACAAACAATCATTTCTGGTTTCGGAAACAGGTGCTGCTCGGATTAAAAGGTGAAGATTTTTTTACAAATAGTGTATGATACCAATGTAGTTTAATTTAAAAAAAAAGAACTTAACTGCATTGTCATCATACGCTATTTTTTTTCAAATAGCTTATGATAGCAATGTATTAAGTTCTCAGGGAGCAGAATCCAATTGGTTCTTTGATAATTTTTTTTTTAAATAATGAAAAGCACTTAAAATGGTCGATGTATTCAAAAACGTGTGATTCATACAAAAGTGCTTTGCAGACACTGGATTGCAGGGCCACGAATGGGTGAAACAGAAATTTTCGCTGACAATCTACCTGGTTTACCGGACAACATACGTCCAGGTAAGAACGGAACATTCTGGATAGGTTTGGCAGCTGTACGCCATAGTGATCAGTTCTCATTTCTGGATTACCTCGCTAATAAACCGTACATACGGAAATGTATTCTTCAGGTAATAGTTGTAGACTTTGTAGGGATGAAGTTTCTCTAAAATTTAAATCGGAAGAGATGAACTCGGATAAATCTGTGAAAGACCCCATAAAAGTCCAGTTATATCTTATATTGTCTATGAGCAGCATCACTTATTTGTCTCCATTATCTTTGAGAAGGAAAGAGGCTAGTAACTAGAATTTCATTTAGCTGGTACCGGAACGACAATGGGAATGGCTACTATCAATGTTCGCTACAAAACATGCTTTGATTTTGCAACTCAATGAAGATGGGCAAATTATAGCTAGTGCACATGATCCAACGGGCCAAGTAATTAAGGAGGTATCACAAGTGACAGAAGACAATGAACACCTTTATTTAGGCAGTTACCGTGCTCCATTTATTGCTCATCTGCGTAAAGATCTTATTGTTTACTGAAACACACACGAATCTTTTTGCAACTTAAAGTTAATTTGCCTTTTATCAATCTTTTCATTGTAAAGATTTCAGGAGATAACACGTATCCACTCAGATCGAAACACCGTATTCCGAAACACATATATAAAAGTTACTGCATAATAGTAGTCATATTTATAACTTAACATAAAAAAGAAAATTTTCATATGCCTTGTAAATGTGTATTAACAGACCTTTTCCAAGCAAAAAGCTAAGTGAGTTCTGTTAGCAGAATCCTTATTCGTTTCAATAAATAAATAAAGTTTTAGCTCACAATTCACCTCGCTTTATCTTATACAGTTCGATTGTTTCGTTCAATTTTTCCACAAATGTTTCTAACTTTAGCATAGATCTTATCATTTTTTCTACGGTATTCGTTCAGGAACGAAATAAATATTACCTTAGTATATATTGAAGACAATATTACATTTTTATTTCTTATTCATTTTTCAATAACGAAAATGCTGTCATTCCCTATTTTACTATATTTTCTTTCAAAATAAAAAAAGAAGAGCAGTAAAAAAACTGTCAAGATATTGAGAGCGGAAACTGGATGAGATAGAAACTTTGTATCTCCCATTAGTATTGTCATGAATTTTATTCTTTTCTACATATATTTTTCTGTTGCAATAAATAAAGCGTGTCAAGTTTCAATAACGAAATTAGATCCAGTTTACGGATAGTATTGACCATAAAAAGAAGCAGCTCATTTATTGAGCCATCCGATAATTCTACAAAATTTTATCATATAACCTTACTATCAAGTGCTCAAACAATTCTCTACAAAGTTCGTGAAGGGATGGTGTAGTAAAAATTAGGAATTTTTGATGAATCTCAAATTTATAAAGTACAGAGAGAAGAATCTGATATAAAAAAACCACCAAGTCGCTTTATGGATATGTTCAAAAGCTTCAATTCAAAATTAAAAACTAGCGCTGAACAACAGGAAAGAGAATAAACTGTATGAGTTTTTCTTTGCCATTAATAATTATCGTATAAAACATCACAGTTATCGCATCACAATTATTAAGAGAGAAGTGTAACGATTAACGTTGGTTGAAAAAGTTGAAAAGTTTTTGTGTTTTAAAATTTGCACCGCAGATGAGGTCTGAATGAAGAATTTCCAGCACAGTCATAGTTTCCTTAAGAAGAAATCAATTCTTATTTGTCTCTTTTCAAATCATGAAGAAGTGAAACAACTGAAGACATCTAAGATTATGCTCTGTTTTCGAGTTAAATCCGGAAAATTTGAAGCAAGTAGATCTAAGATATTAGGTTTGGGTGTTCCTCGTGGACAATCTTATAGACTGTTATCCGGACCATAATGAACACTCAAATACATGTTTTACTGCACAAGCAAAATAATAATATATGGTGAATAAAAGGTCATACTTTCTTGAATGTAGTAATAGAAAATAAGTGATAAAAATAAAGTCAATAGAATATCGTCTTTGTTCGGTTTCTTGATTTTGTTTTTCTTGACTTCCGGGATCTTCTGTTACTTGTCCAATCTTCATCATCGTCCGCAGCTGTATGATGTGAGTCTTCCTTAAATCAAATCTCCTAAATTCATGTTGTTTCAATCTAGCTGTCTAAGCTATCTTTTTGATCACTTCATTAGAGCTTAAGTTTCCAAGATAATTTCCTTTAATATCTATTATTTGCTGAACGGTCATAATTTGTTATTCGATCATTATTTCGAAAATGTACTTCGGAAGGGAATTAGCGAAGAGTTAGCCAATCAACAACTGAGATGAGATATCGACGCGTCCCAAGTCTTCTTAATGTTTTCGAAGCTTCCAGAAACATTATTTAAATTTAACGCGTTAGCAATATTTAAAAATTTAGCAAAATATAATAAAGAAAGATAATTATTTTTCTTTGCAGTGACAAAGTATAAAATTATGCTGAAACGCTATTACCTCGACAGACTGCTTATAATAACTTACATCAGAGTGATCCATATCACTCTCCCGACTAGAATATTCACGTAAACGACTTGCTGAGAGCGAAGCTTTCATTGAATTAGTATAATTAATTGCTTGGTTTATCCGACGTCTTGCGACTCTGAAGAAATAAAGCTGAGAGTTAATCGCGTCCATAACATTTGAGTTGAGTCTTATAATTACATATAAAACTGAAAAAATATAAAATTTCAAAGGACTGAGCTTTTCCTGATACTCAGGAGTGGTGTGCTGAAGTTATGAAAGGTAAATATGATGCCAATCGCGAATAAAGATATTTGATTCCTCCGATCAGCTGAACTCCCATACAGAACTGCATAGATAGGATGAAAACAAATAAAAACTATACAGACAAATCTCTTCTTTAAAACATATCGATGTATTACGCTAGTCCTTAATTGTAGACAAGTTTGTCGGTAATAATTACACCTTTAAAATAACTTCTTGCACATTACATAACAATCAAAGATTAACTTCCTGATCCATTTGAACTACCCAACTTTAAGTCAATTTTTTGTCAATACACGAAAAAAAAACAGACCGATACAATAATTCATCGCAGTATCACTTGATGACACTATAATAATTGCATTGTTTTGTTCATTATAGAATATAGAAATAATATATCCTAACATGACAATAATTAACACACATACCGTGAGCTACTTCGTCCCATACCCATGCATTTTTCAAGATGTGGAGCAAAACGACTTGCTGCGATAGGCCGTTTGCATTCATCGCATACAACATCCATATTTTTCTGATGCTTTGTTTGCGAGTTTAATGCACTACCAAAAATATCATATTCACCCACTGCGGTAGGTTCATTTTGCACATCTGAAATAAAAAGTATGTATATGTTGAAATGTTATTAAGTAAATGAAAGATGCAAAGTGTTGACTAATTATTTTGAAATATATGGTTGTGACTATTTATCTCTGATCTCATATAAATACATTTAAAAAAAAAAAAAACAAATCTTCCTCTTTTCAGAAAAAGCTAGAAATGAAACTAAAAAAACAAACATTTTTTTTATTTGATCCATTTTTTTCGCTTAAAATTAATAAAAATTAACCAATTGGTGGTGGTAGCACAGCATTTGTAATTTTGGCAATTCGATGAACTTTGAAACAAGGCTCCAGCAACACTGTTCCTAATAAGTATTCAAATACTTGTTCGCTCATTTCTATAAGATAAACTTCATCAGCCATAAATAACAGCTTGAAAAGAGGTACTTCTAGACTGTAGAAGCTTTCCACATCATCTAAAACTATCCAATCATTCTTATTCTCAACCTCAGATTTGAAAAAGATTATAACAAGCTATGACATGAAACCATCATTTTTTCTCTCCCTTTTCATCTTTTCAGCCTCATGAAGGTTGTTCACTTCCCAAAAAAGTTCACAAACTATTAACCATTAATATCTGCAGCATTTCGTATAATTCCTTCGTCACCTTCACCGTCAACCATCGCAGTTATTTATGATGATGGCTGGCAGGTTACATCAACTGATTAGTGCTTTCCAACTGGAATCAAAAGAAAACGCACGTCCCTCTGAACTGTCGACAGCCGAACGCGATCTCGACTTTCTCACTCATTGACACGGAGAATCTCCTCTCTCGACGGATCACCACTCCGCACCTCACCATAAACTCATCACTGAAACACTTCATCCATTTCTGCTAACCGGGTAGCGTTACACCACAATGATATTTCCTTTGTCCCATCCATCAGGGCGTGCGTGCCACAACCTGGGTTTGTTGGCTGTTGGGGTGTTGTTTTCTCGATCAAACTGCAACTGCGAGTGGTAGCCAAAATAGTATAATGGAATGCAACTGCAGAATAATGCCACCAACTGCAAACTGCAAGGGAGTGCACGGTGTATAGTTTGCATGAGTGGCAATGACTGTTGGACGCGAGTGATATCTAAACTGATGTCTCAATTTGTCGACAATGCCTAACAGTTCGGGCATTATATCGGAAAGCGATTGTTTTCATTGACGACAACATACACGCTGCACTTATTTCATTATTAAATTTTGCTGATGAAAACCGTCAGATTACTTATGTTAAGCTACGTACGTATATAGTAATCAGACGACGTGCAGAATGACTTGCTGCAGGATAGGGTGGGTGAATTTGATCAGGATATCAGTGATCGGATTCATTTATAATTGCCGCTCATACTGGAAAATCAGATCGGAACTGTAGCTGATGTTCATTTTGCGATATAACAAATATTAAAATTTGACAAACAAAAGTTATGATATCTTGAAAACTAAAATAAGTGAGTGTTGTAGCTGAATGGAACTGGATCGCATCAAAATACGCCAGTGCCATAGAGGAATCGGGACTGGATCAAAACCAAAGAACAGATCAGAACTAGAATTAGCAACTATGTAACTTACCTAATTGATCATTATCTCACATTATTCAATAAACTCATTCTTCATACTGTTTGCTAATATATCGTTACAGTATTAGTTATCAGTTCCAGACAATTCATTAAACATGCATGTACAATGGTGAAATCCGACCATTTGGGACAATATTAATGCTATTGTCAGTGTTTCCACAAAGTGTCATTAAAACTTTTGGGCAGCATTCCCTATTAGTTTTGATATTTGTTTCAAATCGCTGGAATTGTAAATCCATAATAATAACTTTTGTAACCCTCTCTCTAATATTTCATTGATGATTTTTGATCATTTCGTGCAAACATTGTCATGAATTATTATGAATAAAAAATTGAATGGGACTGCCAATCATAAATGGGAATTCATTGATTTGATGTTGAGTATTTAGGATGTTGCTACCATTATCGTATTTACATGATAGCGGTAATATATAATGAAAGTGTGGGAATGAGCAGTGAAGGTAAATGTTACCGGAAGGGAAGAAGACAGGTAAAACACCGACGGATGTTTTCGTTTCTTTTTTGGTAGTCATTTCTCGAGCGAATGGCACCTTTTTTCCTGCTTTCTCGTGTTTAATTTTGTTCGAATTTATGAAATTTTTGCTATCATTTTTTTTTCTTTCCAAATGTCACTTTGTTGATATCGTGCACGACTTGCAATTCTTAATCATTTCATTTATTTTGCCATCGAGCTTTTTTATAAATATACTGATATTTTTGTGTTTTTCTTCTTTTTCACTCCTTTTTTTAAAAATTTTATGCACCTTCCAAAATTGTACTTTGCATTAAAAATGAAATGCATTCATTCACTTTTTGATTTTTCTGCAGATATGCTCTTCTTTCCTCTTTTTCTGCGAAAAGTTTGAATGAATCTTTACTTTCGACCAATCAAATGAGGAGAAAAAAGTGGGAAAAAAGGTTCCTCCCCAAAATTTATTTAAAATTTTTTTCTTATTTTCTCGAAATATATTTTAATTTGATGACCTTCGTTACTCTTTTTTCTTTTATTCTTTTTGCTGACATTCACGTGATTCACTGGAAAAAGCGAAACTCACTGTTACTGACTTGTTTTTTTCTTTTCAGTTTATATTTCGTATCGATACATGCTATTGAACATTTTCATAAATTTACCCATATATTTTATGACATTTTTACAGTTTCTTTTTTCCAAAACAATTCATTAACATTGATGATTGTGGCATATGATTTAGCATTGTTGATGAATTTCAAATTCACTATACTTTTGTGATACGGTACCATTAGATACTCTGCTCATTATTCATCCCTATGAACAAATACTCATACACAAGCAATATTATTCCTTCGGAAAAGCGGTTAGTTTTTCTTGAGGTATCAGTTATTGAAATATCATATTTAGAATTTTTACATCATTTGAACAATGCTTCCTTTTTCCCAAACAATATATGACTTCAATAAACTCAAATGACCAGGAGATTAACAAAATAATTCTAATATGACAGTTGACAATTTTCGATGATTAGGAGGACCGAATATGGTCA